GCGGGAGAAAGATGAGGCTTTCTACTCCCGTAAAGATTTACACCCTCGGAAACCCTGTACAGGGTCGCTATGGGTCGGACCCGACTCGATGGCACTTAAAAACAACAACAACAATCTACCAGAGCTCCTTATGCTACCAGAGCTAGCCATTCCATAATCAAGCTATTTTAGGGATGTCAGGTGTAAAGGAGAAAACAACGTGAAATGATGCACACAGTTCAGTTTCTATAGGGCTATGTTGTGATTTTTCCTTGAAAAAAAAAAAAAAGTCTGTGGGGAGGGGCGAACAAGAAACTCTGAAAAGCTAGCTAGTGTTCACAGGTGAAGACTCTTGCGCTAATTTTTGCATCTCAATTCACTCTACTGTCAGTCAGTAGCCTGGAGAGGCTACCATCCAATGAGCCTTTTAATTGGTATCTTTTCTAATATACATACTCTGCGGGAGAAAGATGAGGCTTTCCCGTAAGGATTTACACCCTTGGAAACCCTGTACAGGGTCGCTATGGGTCGGAACCGACTCGACGGCACTTAACAACAACAACAACAACTGGGGTGATGTTAGGCAGACTTTAGGAGCTTATTTCCTGTTCATCAGAATGTTCTATAGTCTGAAAGGTATTCTTTGATTTATCAGGTTAAAGACAGGCAAACAATATAAGGCAATATAAGGAAGAACTAAGGAAGAACTATGGTTAGGTTGGAGTCCTGGTGTGGCATTGGACTGCAAAATCATTTGAATCACAAGGTTGACGGGTCTCAGAAATCCTATAAAGGGTTGCTATGGGTCAAAACTGACTCCACGGTATTTAACAACAATTCTTTATCCCCTCAGTGGATGCTCAGACTTACAGGATTATCATCTGTATCTGTTTCACTGGTTGGTTGTTGTCTGTTCTCTGTTGTAGAGGGATTGTGCGTTACCAGGATGCCATCTTGTCTCATCGCCCATAAGTTAAACTTAACATGGCCATATGGACACTTAATTTCTTCTGAATCTGGTTCCTCCTCCACTATTGGTAAAGAGCCTCACTGTTTACACACTCAATCCAGAAGTGTAGGAGTAATTTTTGTTCCTCTCATTTTCTGTCACTTTAACATTCAATCCATTAATCATTTTAAAATTTATGTTCTGCCTTGAAAAAATGTTTGGAATCTCATCTTCTTTCCACCTGCTACCATTCTTTATTTGGAGTGCTGGTGTGGTGCTGCACCACAAAGTCAGTTTGAACTGCAAGGTTGTTGATTCAGACTCACCATCCTCTCCTTGCAAATCCCATACAGGGTTGCTATGCGTCAGAACTGAGTTGATGACACTTAACAATGACCATCTTTATTTAAGCCAATGTCAAATGTTTTAATAATTTTAATTGCTTTCTGCCCACTTAAATTGTTGTGTCCCCTTTACCATGTATTCTCTTCAATGGAATAAACACTGAGGCATATGTAACATATTACATTATGCCCCTTTTTAAAACCTTTAGTATTTTTTCTTGGCACATTCTACTGGGGACTATTCTACTGGCTCACTAGTCTTCAGTCACGCTCACTTTCTTCTGCCTTAGCATCTTTTTGCTTGTTCTTTCTGCTCATGGAAAGTCTTCTTTGACCACTATCTAAAAAGCTTCTCAACCCTGTGCTCTGTAAGTACTTGCCTCATTATAAGAGTTTCCTATTGCTGCTGTAACAAATTAAAGTTTGTTGTTAGTTACAGTTGAGTCTGTTCTAACTCATGGCAATCCTGTATATTTAGTAGTTTAAAACAAGAGGTGTTTTCTTACAGTTCTGGAAGTCACAAGTCCATTATTAGTATCAGTGGGCTAAGATCAAGTTGTCAGCAGGTTTGGTTCCCTTAAGTGAGGGTCTAAGGAAAACTCCCATTTCCCTGTGTATTCCACTTTCCAGAGATCATCTACATTGTTTGTCTCATGACCCTTATCACTTTCATCTCAGCTTCTAGAGTCACATCATCTTCTCTGACTCTGGTCTTTCTGCTTCGATTTGATAAAGACTCTTGAGATTACATTGGACCTTCCGTGATCATCCAGGATAATCTTTACCATCTCAGGGTTTTTAATTTAATCACATTTGCATAGTTCTTTTGCCATGTAAGTTTAAGGTAACAGATTCATAGATTCTGAGGACTAGGATGGACATGGACTTTGTTGTTATTGTTAAGTCAGTTGTGACATGTAGTACCCCCGAATAGGAAATCCTTGGAAACCCTATACAGGGTCCTTATGAGTCAGAAACGAATTAAAGGCACTTAACAACAACGTACCATTTCCAAGAAGCAGGTGGTGGGTTTGAACTACTGATTATACGGCGCCACCAGGACTCCCTTGAGTGACTTAATGTATTTCTCTTTTCCTTGTGTGTAGTTTCATTCATGTAGAGAAAATCTGGGCTATTTAAAAATTTATTTGTTTTTGCATAGTTAGTACACAGTACAAATAACCCAGAAGGACAGAAAGGTTTATAATGAAATACCTCCCAACAAGTTCTGTTTCCAGTTACTCAGTTTCTAGCTTGAAGGTTACCAGTGGTCCTTATTGTATATTTTTTTCAGATACTTTATACATACACAAGTAAACATGTATGTATTTCTTTTTATAAAGTTGATAATATTACAACAGTTTATAAATCTTGCTCGTTCATTACTATACCTTGAAGTTCAAACTATGTAAGTACATAAGGAACCCCCCTAATTTTTCAAAAAACGAGGCACACTGGAGACATAGCGGTTAAAGCACCCCACTGATAACTGAAAGATTGGCAGTTTGAACCCACAGTTGCTTCTTGGTAGAAAAATGTGGCAGTCTGCTTCTGTAAAAATTTACAGTGTATGGGCCAGTTTTGTCCTATTTAATTTAATTTATTTAACCAATCACTTTTAGATTGGCTGGCAGTCTGGTTATTTCTAATATTTTGTTATTACAAACAATTCCTCAGTAAATAGCCCCTTATTTATGTCATTTTACACAAGTAAGCTCTGGAAATGAAATTTACTAAGTACTGTGATGGTTATACAGTATTTTCTGGATTGTTTAATAGAAACAAATTATGTAAAATTATTTAATTTCTACTTGAGATTAGAAAACTATTTGAAAATTGGTCCCAACAGTTTTCTAGAGGTAAATTAATTTCTTCTGTTCTTATTTAGGAGATGTTGGAAGCCCTCAGGGCACTTTCAGCGTTTTTTGTTGAAAATAGTTTACGAACACGAAGAAATTTGCGTGGAGACATTGAACGTAGAAGTTTAGCCATCAATGAAGAATTTGTAAACATTTTCAAGGACGTGAAAGAGGTATGCTAGATCTTTTCATTTAACATTTGTTGGGAGTTTACTGCACTGTGTTAAGTATTATTTTTGTAGATTAGATCAAATATATTTGCTATTCATTACCATGCTCACATAGAAAATTTAGCGACTTATTTCTGCTGCATCTGCGTATTTATTTGAATTAATGTAATTCTATTTCTAATTCTAAAAACCATTAGGGCTGGTTCTTTAAAATTTGTAACATTTGTTGTAGGCGATTCTCTTAGGAATTTCAGATTTTTAAATACATTTTTCTCTGAGTGGTTGTGAATTAGAAATATCTTGATTGAATAGATGTCCTCTAGATAACAACTTCTTAATTGATGATTAATTAAGATTCAGTTACTTTGTCAAATGTATATATGACATATGTTAAGTGCCATCGAGTTGGTTCTAACTCATAGTGACCCTGTATAGGGTTTCTAAGGAGTGGCTGATGAATTTGAACTGCTGACCTTGTGGTTCAAACAGACCTTGTGGTTCGATGCTTTATCCCACAGCACCACAAAATTTTCAGATTAATTAGATTACTTTAATGTGAAACTAATGGGTTGTTATACTTGAGTGAGCAATGTACTTAGCATAGGATGAAAATTTTTTAAAATTATGTAATATTAGCACACCTCCATGTGAAATGTATGAGAGTGATATATATGGTTTCACTGAATGCTTAGTAAGTAAAAACGGACAGCTTTTTAACATTTTGGTAGGATTTCACTGAAGGAAGGCTAATAAGCTGAGAGTTTGAACAGAAAGTTGCTAGATTCACTGAAATACTTACTGCTTGGTGGTGCTGTAGGATGAGCACTGCACAGGTAACTGCAAGTTGGCAGTTCAAACCTGTAAGCCATTCTGTGGGAGAAAGATGAGGCTTCCTGTTCCTGTAAAGATTTGCAATCTCAGGGTCACTGTGAGTTGGAATTGACATTATGCCATGTTATTGTTTTTTTGCTCATTGAAAAAACAAAAAAGAAGAGGCAGTAGTGATAAACTCATCTGGATTTTGGTCTCTAAACACTATTTCCCATGGAAAGGAACCATCTTCTCAGTACCCTAAGGCAAGGAAGCTATCTAATGTTATTGAGTGAATATGAAAAGGACTCTGGAGCTCACTTGAAGAGGCTTCCACTGGTCAGAGATAGGATGATTTTTAAGCATCCATAAGAATAACTGTTTGTTGTTGTTAAATACATTAGCACACTCCTGTACCCCTAGTATTTCCTATAAACTGGCACTTTGATCTTGAAGTTTGATGATACTCTGATTCAGTTATAGACCAGTTGGAGTCTCGGTATGGTAAGCTCTAGACCAAAAGGTCAATTTGAACCGCAAGAGCAGCAGTTCACACCCATCAGCCACTCCTTGGAAACCATATACAGAGTCGCTATGAGTCGGAAGTGACTCAGTGGCACTTTACATTAACAACAATATAGTCTGATTGGTATTTATGAATATTATTTGGTTCCTCATGTTAATAAATAATGAAAAATGTTGAGGCAGTTGAGGGAATTTGAAAACTGACTAGGTATTTGATATTATTGGATTCTTGTTAAATGATTAGGTACAAAAATGATGTGTCTCTATTTGTAAAAGAAGAACATCAGTATATTTATGGATAAATTGATGTCTCTGGCTTTGCTTTAAAATGATTGATTTTGTTACAAGGGAGGAAGTGGGCGGGGAGAGAGATGAAATAACAGTGACAATGGCTTGAAAATTGTTGAAACTGAGTAATGGGCATACAGGTCTTCATCTCCACTTCTGGAGAGTTTTGAAAAGTTTTCATGAGTTTTTTTAAAGTTATACATAGTCTACACTTTTTTTAAAAACTGCGAACAAAGACTTTTCACTATAAAAAAGAGGTCAGAAATAGAAACAAATAGCTGTGGTCAGTATTTTATTGAGAGTATTCCCTCTGTTTTCTGTATAAAGATACTTTTTCTAAAAACTGCAGATAAATTATTTGTGCAGTTTTGCATCATGTTAAATTATATTTCACATATTTATTATATTGTCCATCCTAGTATATGTATTACTATGTACTTATCTAATTAATTCCTTGATACTAGACTGCTTGAATTAAGAAGTGTTCATATTTTTAAAGTATTTGCCATTTTCCTATTGCCACACCCTAAAAAATAATGTATTAGTTTCCTCACATCTTTTTTAGCATTAGACAGTATCATTTGTCGTAATTTTCAGTTTTAAATATTGAATCTCTTGTCAAGGCTTGACAAAAGTACTTTATGGGACTAAAATACAGATTAAAGTAAAATAAGGAGAAGAGAAATTTCTTTTAATAGTATATATAATATTTAAGGAGCGTGGTGGCTCCATGTGATAAACTATACATGTGATAAGATACAGACCACAAGGTCTGTAGTTCGAGCCCTCTAGCCGCTTTTTGGGAGTAAGATGAAGCTTTCTGCTCCCTTGAAAATCTAAAACCTCAAAACCCTATAGACAGCTGGTGCTATAAATTTACTTTATAAGGCTTTTCTTTTCAAAGTCTTTGTAATTCCTAGCAAGTGATTGGGTTGTTGTTGTTAAGTGCCGTCGAGGTGGTTCCTACGCATAGCAACCTTGTATAGGATTTCCGAGGAGCAGTTGGTGAGCTTGGACAGCCAACCTTGCAGTTCAGATGGCTTTGCTGTCTGGCACATTAACCCACAGCGCCACACCGGGACTCCTAGACCATGCAAATAAGGTGGACACGACTTTAAAGCTGGGATTGGTTAGTTTCACCCTCCAGCAAGCTTAAAAGAAGCCATCTCAGAAGCAGAGACTGAAGATCTCAGGACCATCCAGAAGGAAGAGCATGAGTGGAGCATGAGATGTCAAGAGGTGACAGAAGAGTCGTTGGCAGAGATGACAGCAGAGGCAACAGCAGAGGTCGTGGCATGAAGAGACAGAATAGCTTCCAGCTCTTGGCCTATGGACTGAGTAAAGCCAAGTGCCTATAGGCAGGATACTGGCTTGCAGAATGTGCCCTTTGGGCATTTACAGCCTAGCTAAAAGAGCTTTGTATGACTTGCTCAAGCAGGGCAGAGGCCAGGGGGTCACATGGCTGAGAAGCCGAAGACAAGACGTTCCTGACTGGAGAACTGCTGCATCCTGAGTTGGTTTTGATACTGAATTGTACCCTGTTCACTTCTCTAATAAACCCCATAACTGTGAACATTGTTATGAGTTCTGGGTGACCATTTCAATGGATTATTGAACCCAGATGTGAAGCAGTACTGTGGGGTGGGTGTTGGTGTCATAATAGGGTAAAGAAGTTTATAGGGTGGAAGCATTTCTGACCTCTTTCATAGGAATTGGCCTTGGACTGGTTTTGACTTTGAGTCTCTTTCCCAGAAAAAGTCAGACGTGGGTCCTATGTGGCTTTTGTAGTCAGTATGAGTCGAAACCAGCTCCGTGGCACTTAGTAAAAATAACAGGAAATAGTGTTTAATGTTATTTTTCTCCTTTTCAGGAACTTGAAAGTATAAACGAAGATGTCCAAGCAATGAGCAGCTGTTGTCAAGATATGACAAGTCGCCTACAGGTACTGTAGGATGGTGAAATTTTAGCAAATGTAGCCTGGCAAGCTCTCAAAAATTGTTAATTATATATACACAATGTATGAATCTCTAAACTATTCATATCCTGCAGCAAATTTGAATATAAACATTATGATTTTTTTTTTTAACGAATTACTTGTTTTTCATTGGGTGATGGTCTACTTACAGGGAGTCCCTGACTTAGGATGTATTTGAGTTATAATGAACTGCACTTATGACTTTTTCTTTGTACATCTTACTGTTGGTAATATGTACTACATACAGAGTAACCTACTGCCATTGAGTTGATTCCAACTCATAGCGTCCCTATAGGATAGAGTAGAATTGCTCCATAGTGTTTCTCAGTCTATAAATCTTTATGGGAGCAGACTGCCTCTTCTTTCTCCCATAGAGTGACTGTACATGTGAACCCTCAACCATTCAGTTAGCAAGCCCAGTACTTAACCACTGAGCCACCAGGGATTCCTTACATGCAGTGTTGTTGCTGGTGTTGTCTGCTGTAGAGTCAGGTCCGACTCATAGTTACCTTATAGGGGATTTCCAAGGAGCGGCTGATGGGTTTGAACTGTTACCCTTGTGGTTAGCAGTCCAGTGGTTATCCTACAGCGCCGTAATAGAACTTCTACGTAGAGTTGTTGTTAAGTGCTATTGTTGTTAAGTGACGTCAGTTGGTTCTGACTCATAGCGACTCTTTATAGGGTTTCCGAGGCTTTTTAAATCTTTGCAAGAGCAGAAAGTCTCTTCTCTCTCCTGCAGAGCAGCACATAATTTGCTGGTGTTATTTTCAGATGTTCACTAGCAAATATTTAAGGATTAGATCATTATAAGATCCATAATAAAAGGCAGTAATAATGAAAATGAAAAATAAAGAAAACATACAGAAAATGAGTATTCAGCAAAGATGAGAACCAATTTATGAAGGAATCACTGGAATAGAACCCCATTTGTAAGTCAGAGACAACAAAGGTAGTCTTGAGTATGTGTTTACTGTCTTTTCTGTTTCATTGTGAAGACCCCAAGTGTTGGGACTGGTCCGACTCTTGAGGTAGCTCTGGGAACCTTTGTATTTTGGTCTAGTCATAGAATTTAGATACAATTTTCAATCCTGTCATATCGCAGAAGTCCAGCAGTAAGGAATTTTTTAGATCTAAACTAAAGCTATACCTGAGAAAGACTCAGCTTAATTCTGATTCATGCTCAGTTAAAAAAATCTCCAGGAAAATACATATAATTTTAGGTGTCTAACAGTATGGCGCTGTTGGATAAGCACTCGACCATAAGTTGGTTTGAACCACAGGGTTGTTATGAGTCGGAAACGACTCAACAGCAGTTAATAACAACATCAACAATGATGTTGTTGTTGTTGTTAAGTGCTGTCGAGTCGGTTTCGACAACGATAGTGCCTTTTATTTCTGATTCTTAATTATATTTATTCTTTTATTCTTTTCCTTATGTTTATTTTTAAGTGTTAAGAAGATCACACTTTTGTTACTCTTCCTGCTATTTTCAAAACAATTTTTTGTTGTTAAGTGCCATTGAGTCAGTTCCAACACATAGTGACCCTGTACAGGGTTTCTGAGTTTGTGAATCTTTGCAGGAGCAGAAAGGCTCATCTTTCTTCCAGAAAGTGACTGGTGAACTGCTGACCTTGTGGTTTGTAGTCCCATGAATTTTAAATCACAACCAAAGTGAATTCTTCTATTTAGTCCTTTGTATTTTCTTTTTGCTCCCCTCCTCTCCCCCACTTAGTTCTCTGTTACAACACGGACCTTTTCCTTTCTTATATCAGCTTTATTGAGGAATGATTTACGTACAGGAATAAAGTACATCTATTTAGAATGCACCAGTTGTTGAGCTTTGACATTTATAATGCACCTATGAAACAGCCACTACAGTGAAGATGCACATCATTTTTAGCACTTCTAAGATTCCCTTAAGGCTATTGAAATTGTCATGCCTGGTGTGGCGCTGTTTGCTAATGCGCTGGACTTTGAAGTAAGTTTTAACCGCAAGGTCAGTGGTTCAAGCTCACCAACTGCTCCATGGAAACACTATACAGGGTTGCTGTGGGTCAGAACTGACTCGAAGGCACTTAACAACAACAACAACATTGCTTATATGCATTTTCTGGTGTATGTATCATTTCTTTTATCAGTACAAATTAGTCGTGATTTTGAAATTTTGTTCATCTCTTTCAATTTAACCTAAAAGTTTATTTTAATAAAATGTTTTTATCATCTTAATAGTATTCATACTGACAACTGTAGAGTAGTGCTTTTAATTTATTTATTTATCAGTAAAACTATTTATGGGAGCCTGCTTTACCCCTCCCAGTTCTATTATGGGATTAATTAGTTAACATTTTCCAAAGTACTTTTAATATGGTATATTTTAAGTTTTATTACAAAATACTTTCAGAAGCTTAAACAATAATTTTATATTTGCTACTGATTCCACGGCGCATTACTACCACTACCATGTTTCTTTGGCTGTGGTTTTTGCTTGCATTAATTATATTTAAAGGTATTACTCGTGGCATGGTGCTGTAGGATCAGCACTGGACTGTGACCCACAAGGTTGGCAGTTGAAATCCACCAGCTTCTCCTCAGAAACCCTATACAGGGTTACTATGAGTTATAGTCAACTTGATTGCACTTAACAACAACTTACTAACATAACCTATTTCCAGTGATTGATAGTTGGTGTTGATTGTTAGGTACACCCTCAATGTTACAATGACTTGGGTTCAAAAGTGGAGCCCTGGTAGTGCAGTGAGGTTAATAAGTGGCTGTTTACAGCAAGGTTGTTGGTTCAAAATGACCAGTTCTTCCAAGAGATGAGGCTGTCTGCTCCCATAAAGACTGATAGTCTCAGGAATCCTGTGGAGCAATCTTAGAGGGTCTCTATGAATAAGAGTTGACTCTGTGGCACTGGGTTTGGTTTTTGGTTTTGGGCTAAAAAGAAGCTGATAAGCATTTTAGTACTGATTTTGTGAAACTATATCAGAAATATTAAAATGTAAATATATCTTAGAATTAAAGGGAAATATTGTATTTGAGGAAATTGTTCAAGGGAGGAATTAAGGCACATTTTAAAGCAGAATGACGTTGTTAAGTGCATTGAGTCAGTTCTGACTCATAGTGACCCTGTATAGGGTTTCCGAGGCTTTACATCTTCTCAGGAGCAGAAAGTCTTTTCTGTGGAGTGGCTGATGGGCTCCAACCACGGACCTTGAGGAGTGCTTATCGTGTGGAACCATTGCACTCCCTAAAATGACGTTGTTAAGTGCCGTCAAGTGTGTTCCGACTCCTAGTTATCCTGTATAGGGTTTCTGAGAAGTGGCTGGTGGCTTTGAACCACCAACCTTGCAGTTCAGATGACCTTGCAGTCCAGTGATACATCCGGCTTCAACACCCATACCTAGAGCACCACACCAGAACTCAGAATAACATTGGGTGATTGACAAGTTGGAATAGAAATACTATATGATCCAGCAGTCTCACTGTGTTCTAGAAAAATAAGAGCCAAATGTAAATAGATATAGGTACACTCAAGTTCATTGCAGCTATACTCATAATTACCAATAAATGGGAACAACCTCAATACCCATCAACAAATATGGTACATATACACAGTGGAATGCTAGGCAGCATTGAAGAACAATGGTGAATTTGTTAGCCACCTAGTCATATGGATAAACTCAGGGGACATTATGCTGAGTGAAATTAGTCAATCACAGCAGGGTAAATCATCTATCAGACCACTACTGTAAAAAGTCAAGAAAAGGTTTTCCTACAGAAAGAACCATTCTTTGATGGTTAAAGCATAGGCTGGGAGGACAGGATAAATCACTAGCTAGTGAGTATTGGAACTTTTTAAAGCACTGAAGAGCAGAGATGTCAGCTTGAGGACTAAGGTGCACCTGACCCAAGCCATGGTATTTTCAATAACCTCATATGGATGCAAAAGCTGGACAGTGAATAAGGAAGATCGTAGAAGAATTGATGCCTTTGAGTTGTGGTGTTGGAGGAGAATACGGAAAGTGTCATGGACTTCCAAACGAACCAATAGATCTGTTTTGTAAGAAGTGCAACCAGAGAGCTCCTTGGAGGCCAAGATGGCTAGGCTTCGTTTCTCCTACTTTGGACACATTGTCCGGAGAGAACAGTTGCTGGAGAAGGATGTCATGCTGGGTAAGGTGGAGGGTCAGAGAAAAAGAGGGAGACCTCCCAACGACATGGATGAGCCAGGTGGCATCATTGATGGCGTCAAGTGTGGCGGCGGTAGTGAGGTTGGCCCAGGATCGGACATTGTTTCATTTCTGCTGTGCATGGGGTCGCTATGAGTCGGTTCCAACTCGATGGCACCTGACAACAACAAGTGAGTATTAGACTTCTGGTGTGGTGCTGTAGGATAAGCACTGCACTGCTAGCTGCAAGGTCAGTGGTTCCAACCCACCAGCTGCTCCTTTGATACCTTATATATGGTTGGTATGAGTCGAAACTGACTCCAAGACACTTAACGACAAGAACAACAACAAAGCATGTATTAAATTGGATGAAGGGAATGACAGTATACAGTCAGGGAGAGGTTAGCATAAAAAGATCAAGGTAAAGGATGACAGTGGGAGGAGCACAGGAGTTAAAGGTTACACAGGGAAATGCTATTATACACAGCCCTGCAGTAACAGCAACACCATTAACACATAAACATAGGCAAGCTGAACAAGTAGGGGAAGGCAAATGGGATTACATTCACGAATAGGCTTGACAGAGGAGAGTTCTACATGTGGTTTTACATGTGCTGCAAAGGTACCTATGGATATAGTAGAGCATGCAGGGATCAAAGTTATGGAAACTTCTTAGTCATAACCAAATGGCTTGAGGGAATGAGCTGGGCTGGGGAGTTTAGGAGTGTAGTCTTTGGGGACATCAAGGTCAGTTGCCATAACATGGCCTACAAACACAATGTCCTACATCCTATTTTGTTAAGTAGTGACTGGAGTCTCCAAAACTTGTGAGCAGCCATGTAAGGTGCAACTATTGGTTAGTCTCTCCTCGTTCAGAGAAAAGAAAAGTAAGGAAAAAGACTACATATGGAGACAATTACTCCAAAGGATTAATGGTCTGTGAGAACCTCAGCCTCCATGACCCTGAGACTAAAAGAACTAGGTGGTGCTGGCTACCCCTGCTGACCACTCTGCAAAGGATCATAGTAGAAGGTCCTTGATAGAGGAGGGAAAAAATGTGAAACAAAACTTAAGGGAGACCTCGGCAACCTAAGACAGAGCCATTGCCATGCTGCAATGAGTTTCAATGAC